CTCTCATCTTTCCTATTTAAACCAAAACCTAATTCTCCTTAATTAGATTATTCTCTTATTACCCTCAACTTACTCTCATATTTCTTATCTTGCCCCTACTTCTCTTACTAACTCAAATTTTCTTTTTTAAAATTTGTTTAATTCTAATAACTCAATTTCCACCAATTTTCATTATTTTTTATATTTTTAATTTAAACCTAAATTCTCTCCCACTAACATTGTTTTTAATCATTCCTCTCAAATTAAATTAATTAAAATTAATCCAAATAACTTCTATCATTCCCTTAACTCTCTTCAATACCCACAAAGACACATATTTACCAATTATCCAAATAAAAGCATATAAACTAATCTAAATAATTAAATAATTTAATTGAATTCGGGATGTCACAACTCTCTCCCACTTACAGAATTTTCACCCTAAAAAATTATCTGAACGAAACAGCTTCGAATAAGACTCTATCATCTGACTCTCTAGCTTCCACGTCATGCTTCCACCATCAGGTCCTCCCCAAACAACCTTCACTAAGACGATCTTTTTACCTCTCAATTGTCGCAATTCTCAGTCATCGTTTCGCACTGGTAATGCCTCCACAGTCAAGTTATCTCTCACTTGTACAACATTCATTTGAACCACATGAGACGGATCTGAAACATACCTGCAAAGTTGAAACACAAGAAAGACGTTGTGAAGATTCTAAAGAGACGGTGGTAAATCAACATTGTAGGCTACTTTTCATACTCTCTTCATAATCTGATAAGGACCAATGAAATGTGGCGTGAACTTTCGAGATTTCAAAGTACGACCACCATGTGTCACCAGAGTGACTGGGAGGAACATATGATTTCCCTTTTAGAACTCAAGTGTCTTCCTCCTCTTATCATTATGACTATTTCGGCGACTCTGCGAAGCTTTCATATGTTCTTGGATCATCTTGATCTTCTCGTTTGTTTGTTGCACAATCTCATGTCCAATCACAACACTTTCACCATAATCATACCAATACAAAGGTGTCATATACCTTCTATCATGCAAAGCTTTAAATGATATCATTCCAATACTATTATGGAAATTGTTATTTTAAGTGAACTCAACCAAAGGTAAGTAAGTGTCTCAGTTACCTCTCTGCTCCAAAACACAAGTTATCAATAAATCCTCCAAAGACTGGATAGTCCTATATGTTATGTCGTCCGTCTGCGGATGATAAGCATAACTCAACTTCATCTTAGTACCACTGGCTTCCTGCAAACTCCTTCAAAACTTCGATGTAAATCTTGGGTCTCTATCATAAACAATACTCGAAGGAATACCATGCAAGCTAACAACCTTTTCAATATACACTTTAGCCAACTTCTGCAATGAATAACAGATCTAAATAGGAATGATATGAGTAAATTTATTCAATCTATCCACTATACCCCAAACCCATTCATTCCCTTTAGAAGCCTTAGATAAACTCATCACAAAATTCATGGAAATATCATCTCACTTCCATTCAAGAATATCCAATGGTTGCGTCAAACCCGATGGTCTCTGATGTTCAATTTTTTACTTTCGGCAAGTCAAACACACAAAAACGAACTCGGTTATATCCTTCTTCATTCATGACCACCAAAATATTTTCTTCAAGTCTTGATATATTTTAGTAGCACCAGGATGAATACTAAGATTACTTTTTTGACCTTCTTCAAGAATACTCTTATTCGGTTCTGGAACATCAGATACACAAACTCTGTCATGGAGACACATAACACCATTCTCATTTATTCTAAAACCACCTCTTTTACGTTGATTGATTAACACTAGTCAGTCAGTCAATCCCAAATCTGATTTCTTACCTTATATGATTCCGTCAAGGAACCCAACAGTAAGATTTAACATACCCAACTTTACATTAATATGAGTCTTTTTACACAACAGACTCGGATCTCTGAATTGCTCGATTAACTCCAATTCTCGGACCATAAGCATCGACATATGCAACGACTTTCTACTCAAAGCATCCGCTACGACAATGGCTTTACCAGGATGACAACTCAAACCAAAATCATAATCCTTCATAATTTTGAGTCACCTTCTCTGCCTCATATTTAACTCTTTTTGATCGAACAAGTACTTCAAACTCTCATTGTCACTAAACACTTCAAATCTAGAACTAAACAGATAATGCCTCAAAATTTTTAACACAAACACCATGGCTGCCGACTCTAGATCATGTGTAAGATAATTCCTCTCATAAACTTTTAACTTTCTAGAACCATAAGCCACAGCCTGGCCAGTCTGCAGTAACACGCCGCCTATACTCATCTTCGAAGCATCACAATACACAACAAAAGATTCACTTGGACTTGGCAAAATCAAAATTGGAGTTAATAAGAGAAGTATGGTTATCTGTTTGATTTGGAGCAACTGTATCAAAATTGGAGTTAATAAGAGAAGCTACAAACTATGTAATACTATATTCATGCATGACCAAGTCCGTGAATGATTGCATGATTATCTGTTTGATTTGGAGCAACTGAATGGATTATAAGCATCTGAATGTGGATGCTTCTGACTTCTACTGTTGTTGGTGGTTAACTTTGATACATGGAAGTTGTTGCTGCTTAAATGCTCTGAAGATCCAGTACATCTAACTGGTTGTCACTTGCTCTCATGGAAGAAGTGTTATTTATCTTGAAGAGTTGTTTTGACATAATTTTTCAAAAGAAAAGATTATTGTTCACAGTGAATTTGTCACTTGGGTTGGATGCATTTAGCAAAACAATACCTTAGAGAAGTGTTCAAGATTGATCTAACTTGTTAAAGTTGTATAGAACTGGAAAATGGACATGTGATGGGCCCGAAGCTCTAGCATGTTAGTACAACATCTGGGTCTGGTGCAACAGGTGTTAGATTAATGTGTTTTAACAGAATCTTTTGAGAATATTCAATTATGTTTTATTGTTATTGGTTTAGCAATATGATTATATGCTTTGTTGGACAGTTGTGAAGATTAAATCAGATTTAAAAGAGATTTAAATTTGAATTTGTAACAAACAAAATCATATCTTTTTGTTAGAGATATTCAAGGAAAAAATCAAATATCCAACACATTGTGCAAAGATTCTGGACGAAAATAACTGCAGATCCACAAGAAAAAACCCAAAGTTGTTTTGATATATAAAGAGCTCAAACTTACATTGTAAAACAAACATTCACATTGAGGATTTTAGAGTGATAGGGTTTACAAGAGTTCTTATTATGTACGCCTATATGTTTCAATAACTTGTCATAGAAGGTTTGTCTAGTTGAGTTGTAAGTTCAACATTGTTATGTACACCTCTATGTTTAGTAACTTGACATAAAATTTGTTGTTGCTTGTAAGTCTAATTGTACTAAGTTACTAATAGTGAATTTCCTTTCTTGAGTTGTGGACTTAATCCTCTAGACGTAGTTGTAGTTCCGCCGAACTGGATAAACAATCTACTGTGTTCTTTATTGTTTTTCTGCTCCATCATCTAGTACTTGTTGTTATAGTGGTTCTGGTGTATCTTGTCGAACCGATTGTCGAAGCATCGAGTTAGACATATATCCCCTAAGGAACACAATTTCATTAACAATGGCAGAAACACATATCAGTCTCGCCCTAACAACCCAAAATACAATCAACTGAAAGTGCATGTCTCTAACGCTTCGAATGTGACTACTACCTAATGCATTTAAAACAAACTATTTTACCTAATACATTAATCAAATTTTAAAAATAAAAATAAGAAACTTACTCAAAAAAAATATTGATGAGGATGAAAAATATTAAATGTAGTAAGTGGAGTGAGTTGGGATTGAAAAACTTGAAGTAAAAGTAATGTTGATCCTTGAAAATGAACCGCAAGAATGTTGCTCATGAACTCCAATTTGAGTATCTCAAAAGCTTTAGAAAATGAAGAAGGAGAAGAGAGAGAATTTGATGCGCATTATATATTAATTAAACACATCCGGAGATGCATCTTCGAAGAACCCCTTTAATTTAAAAATAAGGATTAATTTAGAGATGAATCTACAGACAAATCCTAAAACACATACGGAGATGCATCTCCGAATTTAATTTTGGCAAAGTGATGAATGCTCACTTCATCCACCTTATTTTGTGAAAAAACAGTACATTCGAAGATGTATCTTCGAAAATAGATGATATTTCTTACTTTTCAACAAAGATTTTAGAGAACCTTTAGAGGTGGAAAAAGAAACTCCCAAATAATAATTAGTATTTGGGCTCGATCAGATTCAATTTTTTTAGGTTGGAATGAGCCAAGGATTTAATTTTTTTAGAATGGAATGAGCCAACCAACCTGACCCGTCACTTTCCATAAAAAGCTATATTAATCAATTGACGGACCCAACAACCAAACCTGACTGATTGCATTCAGGTAGCATGGGTTGGACGACTATTTTTTTTGTCCACCCCTAGATATGATATTCTGTGTTCGGGCATTTGTATTTTTATTTGAAATTGTGGAAAGGGAGTGAGTGGTTGAGATTTTTTTTATTTGTAATAGAAAAAAGATTTTACTTAAAGAGTTAAAAAAAATTCAAGCCGGCTTTTAAATTTGATCAACTAAATTGCTTCAAAATGATTTTATCTGAATATCTGAATCCCGCGCGCCACTGCGGCAAAGGCTTGCAAAATCTCCCCATAACGTGACAGAGAATGTAACTTCTGACGAGTTGAAGTATAAAGAATCCCCATTTTTCATTTTCATAACAACAACAGAGTAGCCAAACTGTGCAAGCAATCCCCATTTTTCATTTTCATAACAACAAGAACAAAGAGTGCAAGCAATCCCCATTTTTCATTTTCATAACAACAACAACAAAGAGATGTAAATTACTTTCTTAGTTAACTGGATAACCAGGAGATTAAAAACAATCGGCATAATAACGTTGTGACTATGCACTGTAAACAGTCTCAAGTTTTCACTGCCTTAGGAAATTTACTGCAGCATAAAAGGCCGAAAGGTCATGTCGATGTCTTCAACTTGTCTGAACACTCGACATGATCCGCTCGTGCTTTGAAGTTCTTCACTGGTTTCCCCAAGACGTTTAAAGCAGCAACTCGTTGTAATTCTTTAGCTGTCATTGATGAATCGATATGTGAGAAAAAAATTCATCAGCTTCCCGTTGTCTCAAAGTATATGCTGTTTGCTTAAACTAAAACACAATCAGTTGCTGTAAGAATTTTTTATGGATATATGAAACAGATCAGGATGCCAACAATAGAAAAACATATCATTTCCACAATGTATCATCCAGGCATGGGAAAAAATGGTATTAATAAACAAAAAAATGTTGAATCTGTTAAGAGTTGAAACATCAGAGTTCTGACTGATGAATATAGGTTGAAACAGGGAGGTGGATTAAACTGTACAAAGCATTCAAAACAAAATGAATAACATAAACAAGTAACAGATGCATGAGAGTAACTCAAAGACTTGCTCACAATAACTGAATTACGACAAGCACTATTGATAGTGAATAATCGTAAGATTCCGCACTCCCCGTCCTAATGTGTAAAAGTGACATCTCAAAGTCAGTAATTGCAAAAGATTTCATTACCTTCCTCAAGTGAAAGCTGAATTGATCTCTTCTCTAACTCAACAGCATGTCTGCTAAGTTCAATTGAAGACAGAGATTGAAGCACTGGCAAAGGATGAATGAAATGAGGCAAATAAAAAAACAGGAATTTTTGAAGAAAGCATTTGAGAATTATTGAATTGTTCCTAGACATACTTTGGATGTAGTCGGCTTGGTTTGATTGGTCCAACTTCCTTAAAAACATTTGCAACTGTTGATAACGCTCTTCCCAATGCACATTTGTAAATACCTTAGGATTGACAATGGTATGTCCAGAAGAAGGAGCAACGTGATTGGAGATGCTAGAGTTGCCAAGTGAAACAGGAACGGAAATGATGCTAGAGTTGCCAAGTGAAACAGGAACGGAAGGCTTTGCAGACGCGGTTATTGAAGATGCGATAGGAAAAGGTGCAAATGCTGGGAAAGAAGAAACCTTTGGGTCCTTTATGTGAGGTTTTGGTTGAGGAATCTCCTCTTCACAGTAAAGTTGCCTTGTATTATCAAAAGCGGTATTCTTGGGTGTTTCTCCTTCTGATTTTCTACGGACATATACGAGATGTGGGTTAGCAGCATGATTGGGTGGAGATTGTTGGAGATGTGGGTTAGCAGCATGATTGGGTGGAGATTGTTGGAGATGTTGGGTGAGCGGGGTAGCAGCGGGATGGCTATCCTTTAAGAAGGTATTGTGATGATTGTTTGGAGCAGCAAGAAGCAATTGTTGATCAGAAGCATTGGGCAAATCCATTTTAGAATCTCGAGCTGTCCGAAAAAGTAAGATGAATAGAGTCCGTTTAGTTTCAAGTAGTAGCAATTAATTAGAAAAGTAAGTTGATGAATGAAAGGGTCTAAAAATAGCAAGCATGGGAGGAACTAGTGATTGATTACAGGCATCAATCAGATTCAGATCCTTGGCCTCCAAAAATAGCAGTGAGTATGAGAGGGAAACCCTAGGCTTAATTAATCCCAATAACCGCTGATTCATCATTTGCAAGTAATCTCTTAGTAGAATCGGAGTTTTGAAGACAAACCTGACAGATGTCCGGAACATTATATCAGCCTCCGGCGCGCGATGAACAACAAACTCGAATCAGGTGTGCGCTGTTCTTCCTCCTCTCCTATCATTCAATCCCATCCATTTAACTAACAACCACAACGACTATTTTACTAACTTCTATTTAAAACCTAAACAACATATATATTACTAATGTAATTAAAAAACATTTCACCTCTTTTTAATGGAAAAACAAACTTCATGCTACAAATACTATATTCTTAAACACATCAATTTCTCGGTTTGAGAAGTGATATGATGTATTTCATCCAATAATTTTTTTTTTTATAATTAATTTTTAAGTCTCTTAATTTTAAGTAAAATTTCGTATTTGTCTCTTAATTTAAAAACGTTACGTAATGGAACATTAATTTCTCTTTTGTTAAACTATTTAATCTCTTTCATTCATTTAGGTGGAAGAACGTTAAGGATGACTTAGGTGGCATGTCAGGTATGCAACCATTCAAGTTAACACTCAGCTGATGTGTTATAAACCATTTAAGGTTCGTGTTTTCCCAATCTTCATCTTCCTCTTTCGTTTTCATTGTCCATACATCTGGATCGTGGTTTCCTATTTTCATCATTCCTTCTTCCTTCTTCTATCTTCTATCGTGCATTCATATTCTTCCATCTTCCATAAGTGCTTAAATGTCTAAGAATGCAGGCAGTGCTTGAATCATAAATTTGGTACATCTGGATCTGTGCTTCGTAGAAACAACAAAATGAAGTATTTTTGCCAAGATGATAGTGTTCTTTGAAATGTTAGTGATGTGAACTGTAGATGTTTTTGATTGGCTGCATTTTGTGGCAAAACATTTATGTATGTGTGAATGTCATGACTGATGCTATGACATACATAAGGAGTGTTCTGCAGTGTAAGTTTGGATAGCTAGAGCAAAGTATGTTGAATGTCATGCTGGATGTTATGACATCAAGCAGTTGACATCAGGGCGCGATGTTTTAGTTTTCTGTTATTTTACATGAGGTAGCTCAGGCTAGATTTCAGGAAGCATTTTAGGGATGTTAAGTTATCTTAGGCGAAATGCCAGGCAGAGCTGAGGATAACATGAAATGCTCATGACCTAATTGAAGAAGTGCAACTTTATGAAAAGAGGTTTAACTTGGTTAAACCTAATATCTGGGCTGAGGCCCAAGGACAATCTGTTGCATATAAATAACAGAGTATCAATCCTAATCAGGGAGAGATTAGAGATAGTGTTTTGTGAGTGAAGAATTTTGGCTGTATCAGTTGTTCTTCACGTGTGTTTGTGTGTCTTAGGAATACTTGTGAGCCAAGCAATTATCTGTTGTATGATTGCATTGGTCTAGTGTTTTTGAGTTGTTTGTTAATTGTGTCACTCTAAGCTTTTAAGCACGAGTGTTGTGTCTCTTGATTGAAGTTGTAAAGCATGATCAAGATTTATTTGAAGTGTGTTTTCATTTATATCTGTAACTTTAATTGGTAGATATCACTGCTGTGATTGAGGAGAAGTGCGTTGGTAACTCAGGTCTAGTGTTAGGCTGAAGTGTCATTGGGTAGGTCTTAAGTGAATAGTGCAAACTGGTTGTTTAACTCTGAATTAATTCTACTAATAGTGAATTTCCTCCCTGGCTTGGTAGCCCCCAGAGTAGGTGTGTTTTGCACTGAACTGGGTCAACAATTCCCTGTGTTATTTACTGTTTTCATTTCCAGTTTAGTAGTAAGTTCTGTAGTCTGTTCTACAATGGATGTCATAACATCCGTTATAACATCAACTGTTGGGTACCTAAAATTTCAATTGGCATCAGAGCAGGCACCCTGCTTGTTATTTTCTGGGTGAGATCTAAGGAAGATAAATTCTGGTACTATGGATAATGATATAGGATTCACAAATAGACCACCAATTCTGGATGGCTCTAACTATGACTACTGGAAACCTCGTATGATAGCCTTCTTAAAGTCTCTTGATAGCAAGGCATGGAGAGTGTCGCTTACGCGAAAATAAGGTGCCGGCAAAACAGAAGAGTCGCCACCTTTCGTTATTTATCCCTCAGAACAGGAAAGGAAACGATCGGAAAAACCTGACGAATAGGTATAAGACAAGGTCATCGCAACCGTTGTCTGGGTTCGGGAGTCGGTTACGCAAGGGGAAGGTATTAGCACCCCTCACGTCCATCGTACTCGATGGGATCCACGCTTGTTGTGTTTACTGGACGAGTTGGTTTATCTATCTACCTATCAAGGTTGGCTTAAAAAGAAAAGAAAATGACTCGGCAAAGCGTCGCGCTTTATGCCTACGTATTCTCATCAGAGAATGAGAAATCAGAGTCAACGTAGTTCGGCCTACTACGGGGTGCGGGGAAGGTGGCTCGCCAATACATCAGTATTGTGCCTACGTACTCTCAACAGGTATGAGAGATCAGAGCTTACGTAGTTCGGGCCTAATACGGACTACGGGGGTTCAGATTCATCTGTTTTATCGAGTAGGGTTAACAAATAGTTCCAGCAGTTAGGGACAAAGCCTGTTTGCGGTAGAACTAGGAGTTAACGACACTCTTTTCTTCAGAAAAGCTTCCTTTGAATTACGGGCACACGGGGCAAAAGGTTTGGAGTTTGTTTTCTCTCTTTTACGAAAGAACTGTTTTTTATTGTGTTTGCAATTTCAATCGCACTAAAGACTATGACCTGAGAGTGAATGCGTCGCATGTCACCCAAAGGGTGCCATACTAAACATCCAGACTGTTGAAAAGAAACTCTCCAACAATCCTTTCTCAGATAGCTTAAGGCTCGTAACGTACGAAAGAAATCATTTATGATTACTGTATCTTAAGGTGTTTTGAGATGAGAAGAGAGAACGAACAGGCTCAACTAAGGGGAGACTATCAAGTCCTAATGTTGTCATGCCAAGGATTCATCCTATGGTTGAAGTTTGAAACAGGGATCTCCTAGAAGTTATCATGCATAGGTTTCAACCTAAGGTTCTAATCATCACTTCCTTATCAAAGGAAGTGAGAATCCTAAGGGATCATGTCAATGATATAGAAACAGATAAAGCATCAGCTTAAACAGTAAACAGTAAACGACTGTAAAATGCATGCAATGCAAGTGAGGGAGGAAATGTGTGTGGGGCAGCAGCCTCCACAAGCTCATCTCAACCTCAAGCCAGATATGAATAACAGCAATCATACAGAAGAAATAAAATAAAGTGCTATCAAGCAAGCTAGAATAAACTGCAATCATACAGAAGAATAACATGCTATCAAGCAAACACAACAGACCACATAGGCAAGGGAGCTGGACTCTACCGAATACCCGCAAGCAAAGCCATACAGTAAAAATACAAGCAGAGGGAGCAACTCAACCTCTAGTGCAATCATGCTCCTAGCTCAAAGTCAGTCTAGATATGAACTTATTCTAATGCATCAAGCAAGTCAAACAAGGCACATCAGCACAGAAAAGAAAACAGACAAGAAAAGAAAGCAGATCAACCCCTCTTTCAATTCCAAGCTTCAGCTCTTCTGACAGCAATCCAGTCTTCAGACTTCAACCATCCTTCATGACAAGTATCAACTTGCTTCTCCAAGGTTCCAAACCATCAAACATAAGTATCAACTTATTCTCTCTTCTCCAAGCTTCAGCTCTAAGTAGACTCCACCTTCAGGCTTCAATCCCAATAGCAAGTATCAACTTGATTCCTTCAGGCTCTCAATGCACCAGTGTAAGTATCAACTCATCCTTTATTCCTCAAGCCTCAGCTCTACACTCAATCTCAATTGAATCCTCTTCTTATGTATCAACTTAGTCTTCAAGCTTCAGCTCTCTTTGCTTTACCAGTATCAACTTGGTCTTCTTCATCTACCAGCTTCAGCTTCTCAGAGTAATCTTCAATCACATGGAAGTGTCAACTTCATCCTTCAATTCTTTTTTAAGCCTCAGCTCTTCATTGGATCTACAAGCATCAACTTGTTCTTCTTGCTCTTCAAGCTTCAGCTGCAATAGCAATGCTCAAGGAATCATCCTCTTCCACACTCTTCAGTGAAGTCCTCATCTTCAAACTCAAGTCTAACATCTTTCAAGATACTCAAACCAGAGGACAAATTTATTTAACAGAATGAGTGGAAATGATAAACAACTTATTGACAACCAAAGGAAGCCTGTAAGGGTTCATCATTATGAGAGATTGGTTCCCTCAAAGTTCTACTTCCCAGATAAAGCCACTCATCCCTCCAAAGGAGGGATGTGAATATCTTGGAAGGACTTTTAGTCATTGGGAGGAATGGAAGCACAAGATGCTTTCCATATTTGTGAAAGAAGTCATTCTAGTTCTAAGGCTCTCCCTATGTCTCCTACCTCCTAAATCTTCATCAGACACCCTCAGGCACAAGCAACTCCTAGCTCCAAGCAACTTCAAGCATCCTCACCTTGTCTTCAACTTGCCATCAATCTCAATCAAAGGCAAACAAAGCAAAACCCTAATCTAAGGGACCTAAAGAAGTTAATCTAGTTGAGTTAGTAAATTAGGATCACCTAAAACCTAGTACTGAAGTTAGTCCTAACTAAAATACTAAAACCAATTGTAAAATCCTACAAAAATAATTATGGGAACCTAGGTCAATCATGACTCTACCATATTAATTCTAGAGATCAAATCATCAAATAAGACCTAGAAATAAATTCTACACTACAAGGTACTAAACCTAAACCCTAAAAGGAA